CCTCAAACAGAGATTGTCTATTATGTCGTAATATACCTAATGCTTTGCATTGTGCATCTTACATTTATCAATGAAAAATGTATAATCTATATTTTATATTACTAGTATACAAACAAATAATTTATTTATCTGTCATAACATATACACTGTTGTACACTGGCTATTATATATGTATATATGTGTTAAATAGATTGTTTCGTTTTCAGAGTGGACTGTATAAAATTCGAATTACTTTTAAACTATTTATTTAGTAAGAAACTAGATAAAACTTAACACTTTTCGCTTAGTTTATTATACTTTATTTTACATATACTTGTTGGCGTGCGCGTCGTGCCGTCCTTTACGATAACGAGTTCATCGTTTGACTACTATATTACAATAAAAGCAAACCGGTACGCACCGGACAAGCGCGTTTATCATATACTATACTAACATACAAATTAAAACAACAAAAATGGATCGAACATAGAATATTGTATACAATGCATCTTATCTTAAAAATAATTATCATGTTATATTCAAATTTTATACAATAAATTGTAATTATAATTATAATTAGTGAAGATCACTAAAAGCGCTGACGACAACAACCCATGATGGGGGTAATTAAAAATAATATAAAAAGGCTTAGTTCTGTTTGTACAAAAGTGAACGAGCGTGCCAGCGAGCGGCTCTTCTCCACTTTTGAAGCTCTGGATTCTATAGAATTCAGAATTCTTTTGTCTAATCTGTACTCATCAAACTAGCCGATACCCCGTGTTGTCGCCGGTACATTTTAAGTCGATATTGATTTACTCATTCTTGCTTCAAAACTTTATTTATCTATATAAAAGAAGCATTACAAATCCTCACACAAACTATCTGAAAGAAGAAAGTAAATTTATATTAACCCAATTATTTAGAATTAATAATCTGAGTAAAGAACTATATAACAATAGATCATATATTTATGTTTATTTTTAAACTTTCATTAACCATCACTAACTAGTTTGTACCTTATACATAATCACATTACATGGTACTCGTGAGATGGCCACCGCCTCTTCGTTGTCTCAGTGTGTTATTTCAGGTACTTATCAGTTAGGTATTTTATAATACATCTATAGAAAAATTTTAACCATTTCTTCTTATATCTACTTGTATTTATTGTTTTAATCCTTCGGACTCTATAACCCCAATAGAATCTCGTTGCTCCTGAATTGACCAAATCCCCAAATATCCAAACACCTTTCTTATTTTTGAATTACTACAATAATAAAAATTGATCACTTGTGGCTAATTAATTAAGTAAAATTATAACTATATTAAAAATATTATTAATTTAAAAACTAAAAAATATTAAATTCAAAAGCCACAAAAAATTACTGAAAAGTCGCGGATACGTATTTCCGAAACAATGTTACCATCATTGGTTATCAACGTTAAACATGATGATCATTAATCATGATGATTGGTTATCATCATGTTATCAACGTTAAACACATACTGAAACCCTGACTAGAAAAAACTCCCTTATATGACCCCTAGTGAAGTCTTCCCTAAGTAATATTATCACATTTTACTAGTTTACACAAGTTAAATATTAAAATTTTTCAGTGGGTCAAGATCCCAATTAATTAAATTGTTTTTATTTTTAAACATTTCTATTGCCTCCTCAATATTATTTTTTTTGTATTTTTTTACGTTTTTAATTAGTTTTATGCTTTTAATGGAGTGATTATGTGTCAATAAATGTTCAGCTACTGAAGATTTCTCAACTTCTTGATTTTTAATGTTTCTTAAGTACTCTTTAAACCTGAGCCCTATATTTCTTTTTGTTTGCCCTACTTAACATTTATTACAACTTTCACAATGTATTTTATAAATTCTGATTCCTCCCTTTCTTCTACCTTAACTTTAGGGTTACCTAATAAATCTCTTAAAATATTACTCTGATATGTTACTAAAGTAAGATCAAAGTTGTGTTCGGACTAATTTTGAAATTATGTTTTTGTTAAACCCATTAAATCTAGATATTTCATTTATAACCACCAGTTCTTTATCAAAATCTATTTTATTAGTCGGAATATCAATTAATCGTTAAACCGTATTATTAAAAGCTGCCAATTTGTGATGCCAGGTGTGGTTCGTTGTGTTCGGAATGTATTTGAAAATGTGTGTGTTTTTCCGATAAATTTCAAAATTTAGTTCCCCCTCTGTTCTTTTAACTAATAAATACAAAAAAGGCAATTTTCTCTCTACTTCTTGTTCATATGTGAATTTAATCGATGGGTAAAAAGAATTTAAATATTGTATGAAAATCTCCATATTAAAATCTTTATTTATATCTGAAAAAATATTATCTACATACCTAACCCAAATATTTGGAAAATCACCATAAGTGTGTTTTAAATTTGTTTCAAATCTACTCATGAAAAGTTTTGATAAAAATGATGATAGCGTATTTCCCATTGCTGTGCTCTCATTTTGCTCATAAAATTTATTTTGAAACTGAAAAACATTTTGACCCATATATAACTTTGTTAAATTAATAAATTCATTTATTTTATCTTGTTCTATGTTTTGTTCCTTTAGCCAGTCTTTAAGAAAATCAATTGTTATATTTATTGGAATATTCGGAAATAAGGCTATTACGTCATAAGAAATTAACCTGTCATATTTTGAATGTTATAACCAGATAATTATTGAACTGAGTAATAATAATATTATTTTTAACTGAAAAGCTACCGAATTTTTTTATAGATGAAAATACGCTTTCTAGGTGTTAAGGCAAATTGTAAGTCGGAGCATTAATATTCGACACAATAAGTCTCATATTATTTCCTGGCCTATGTATTTTTAGCAAAGCATATAGTTTAGGTATTTGAGGTTTTGAAATTTTAATAAAAAACCTGAAATTTTCTTCAGTTATTAATTTTGGACTAATGATTACGTTTGTAGCTTCCCTTATCATTTTATTTAATGGATTCTTTTTAATTTCTTTAAAGGGACCCTCTTGAATCAATTTTGATAATCTTTGAAAATAATCTTCTTTCTTCAGTTTTACTATAAAAATCCCCTTATCTCATTTTAAATAAAAACAGTTTTTATTTTTTAAGTCCTGTAGAGTCGTGAATGTTTTTTATTTTTTCCTAAACCCCCTTAATTTAAAATAGAATTTTTTTGTGGAAAATTTAAACACTCCCTTCTTGCTAAGTCTTGATTATTAAAATCAACACTTTTAACCTCCATTTCAATGCCTACTAGTAGATTTTCCATCGGAAATTGTTTAGCTTCGATGCGAAACTAAGAAGGTATTTTTTTACTATGATGTGTATTTTTTTTTTTTGTGTTCGAAACTATGAAGGTATTTTTTTACTATGATGTGTATTTTTTTTTTTTGTGTGTGTCCGTTACCACTTTTTCTCAGATCTCACCGAACGGACTTCTTTCAACGATACGTTAAAAGATCACAAATCATATCTAGTCAGATACATTACCCTCAAAAATTTCCCTCATTTACCGTAAATGGGGGAAACATCCAAAAAAATTACAAATTTAAAAATCACTAATTTTTTAAATTTTTTCAATATATTTTACTAAAAACTGCCATAACTTTTTCAAAAATGATCAAATCAATATAACTTTTTAATACATGCACATTGTTTATCCTATCATTTGATCATTTTTTTTTATAAATTAAGAATTATAATACTAAATTATTAAATGTCAATTTCATACTATGTTGAATTGCTTTTATAGATATTTATTCATAAATTATACTTATAAATCAACTACTAATTAGGAATATTCATAGAACTTTACCATGTAGCTAACTTTACAGGGTCACCGAGGAGGGTCCATCCTGGGCCAAGGCAAAGACGGAGCACCAGGAATTTTGGTACCTTATCCTAGAGGGATTTACTATGATATAGTACAGTATTAAAATTTATTAAATAATACTAACAATTTTTAATAAATTTTATCATAATATAACAAAAGTATTTAAAAAGAGAATTGTACATAAAAAACAAATTATTTAATTGAAAACATAGGTCCCAAATAAAAGGGAAAATATAGAGAACAAAAACACTACAGTAAAATATTGAATAAATTAATAGTAATTAAGTTTTGGCCAAAGATGTAAGACGAAATTTACAGTATGTTTATAATTAAAAGTTAGGACATTAAATAGTGATTTATCACAATAGTACATACAAATTGTCTACAGACTGTCGAGCATTCAAATAGCCTTCACAAAGTGTAATAATTCATTACTAATAAAGTCTGAACGTAATTGTAGTGACTATGGAATGATCGAGAATCTTCGTGACGGATAGGCAACACAAAATGCATATACGCGCGAATGTTCTCGATCACTCCATAAGAGAATCTTCCAGAACACAACACGATATAAAATGGCACGACGTAACAATAACGTCAATCAGTTAGTTAGCCAGTCGTCAGTTAATCGGTTAAGTAGTTAAGTACACGTAGTGCATTAATATAATTTTTATATAAATTTTCTCAGTGTTTAAACAATAAACCGTCTACAATTTTTCTGTTATATAAATTAGTGTTTTTATTTATTTTAAATCAATAAGTGAAACACTAAAGTAATGTTCCATTTTTTTTTTATTATATTAGTATTCCTGATAAGAACAAGTCATCAGTTATAGAACAATATTAACTGGAGCAAAACTACTTGCTGGAGTATATTAAATTTCAAATGTCATAATCACAATATAAAACAACAGAATAAATTGGAAAAACATGAGCATGGCAGATACAATGCATGTACAAGGGTATAGTCACTATACTATAGTGGATATGTCACCAACGTCAATGAGTATCCTCTACATAAATGTAGAGGACTCATTGAGATGTTCACTATGTCCTCCCTAACGACATCCGAGTAACTGATATACCGGAGATGATCCGGTAATCGTTTTCTCTGGATCTTTGTGAAAGAGTCAATACGTCAATATGTCACTGACAAAAAAACAAATATAATAAGAGACTTGAGTTTGATTTATTTTTATTAAACTGATATTACCTAAAATATTTTTTATCAAAAATATGCGGCATTTTTATTTTAAAAATAAAAGTATGATGGATAGTACATTAAAGTATACAATAAAATGTATTTCATTATTTGCAGTACGAAGTTAATGTATTTTTTTTTGTTATAATTTGTAACATCAACTCAACTATTAAATCATTTTCTTTCGTTTATGGTTGGGTTTGGACTATTTTTAAATACATAATTGAATTCTGCAAAATAACATAAATATAAGTACAAAAAATGATAGTGCATTAGGAATCCAGCAAAGTGAGTTGAAGCATTTTTTAGATTAGTATTGATTGATATCGGACAGTAACTAAAATAAATTTTTTAATGGCTGAAGAAAATAAATGGTCGATAACAAATTTTGGATCATTAATTAAGAAATTTTTAAACATTTAAAGTCTAGATTGATAGTGAGAAATTGGTAATACCATTTGTATCATTAGTCATTATCCAGCTATATTTTACGTCCCGCCAGGTAAAAAATGAGAATAATATTCAAAGTATTAGTCCAAATATTATTATCGACCGGTTATTTTCTTAGTAAGATAATTTTCAACATTATAAGTTGATTAAATATGTATGTTGCCATTAATAAAAACTATTTGTTACTCAAATAAATTTAAAATAATCTAATTTTATCAAAAATTGTATGATTATGACTTTAATAACTTTTAAATATAAAATTTCAGATTATTATATCATCAGTTGCTAGCTAAAAAAATATTAGTCTACTCTTCTATGTTCTTCTGTTTCCATATGAAAAACAGGATGAATTATTATAAAATTTCTATTGAAAATACAACAGATATTGGTGTGCCGGCCATTAACTTGGATATTATGGATGTTAAAAAATTATAATAAATTTTTTCTTTTCAATTTTTTATAATATTCCAAAAAACCAATAATACTTCATTAAATTTAATCTAATATATTACATATTAAAATGAAAAGAAAATTTTTTTTTTGAAAACTGAATTTTAGGATCTAACTGATTTAAAACAAAAAACCTAACACAAGGAGGTCGTGGCACAATGGTGACGTAGCATAGTTGGATCAAGTATAATGATATCTGACAGTGATTAAAATCACTATAAAAAAAAACGCTTCGATGCAAATCTTTAGATAGTGTTTAATTTTAAAAA